AAATATGATATATCAATTGAGTTTTTTGCTCTGCCTCCTGAGATTACCTCTCTCCTTTTCCACTATTGTCTGCCTAGTGTCCATCATGATTACTGCCTCTCTCATTCACTAGCCTTCTCCTCTTGCATCCCTATACTCTGTTCTCCAATTAGCAGTCTAGTGATCTTGAAGTATAAGCCAGATAATATCACTGCTTCACTTAAAATCTTTTAGTGGATTCTTGGAATGAATTGCAGACTTCCTACTATGGCATTCAAATTTTGTTTTTTGTTCATTTGGTTTTTGGTGTTTTGGTACTGGGGATTTAACCCTGTGGCACTKAACCACTGAGCCTTTATTAATTTTTTTTTTTWAATTTTGAGACAGGGTCTTACTATATTGTTTAGGGCTTGCTGAGTTGCTGAGGCTGGCCTCAAACTTGGGATCCTCCCACCTCAGCCTCCTGAACCTTTGGGATAACAGGCATGTACCACCACACCTGGCTACATAGGCTTTCTTAACTGACAATGGAAACCTATTTTCTCCTCCGGCCTGTAATGCTTTCCCTTGGATGTTTCTCATGGCTTAAAGGTCAACTCTGAAAAGAGGGCTTCTTTGGCCACTCTATCCAAAGTAATCTCCCTCAGTTTTTTCCTCATACCAGATATTAGTACTTTAATTACTCTTCATATTTGTAAGTTTCACAAAGACAAGGTGAGTCATGTTCACCTGTGTCCCTGATGAGTAATGGGTATCCTATATATTAGACACTGAAATGTGTGTTGAATACATGAATACATTCATTGACTCTTGTGGAAAAAATAAAGAAGCCTTAATCTGCGAAGAGTTGGGTTTAAATCAGCAGCAAAATGTAGTAAGAATTTGTAGGTTAAAAAAAGAAATAAAAAGCAAAATGGAGAATGGATGAATTTCCAGAAACAAATGTATTGAATCAAATATGTCAGCAATCCTCTGGCAGCTCTGACAGCATCATCAGTATGCACAACCTGACTGGAGACAGTGCAATGCTGAATTAAATGAGGAAATGGCTGCCCTTCTCAATACAAAGACCATCCCCACTCCACGCACCCAAAAAAGGCAGGGTGTGTGTTGTGGGGGAAGCAGTAATCATGATTAAACTACAACTCCCAGGATCCCCGCGCGAGCCCGCCCATTGGGAGGTTGTGCACAACTCCGTCCCCCRAGCCAAGGCTGCGGTCAGGGCGGGGCCGTGCTCTTGCCCCGCCCCCCGCTCATCGCCCTCGCCCTCCCCGAGGGTTGTGGCCACGCGCAGCGGCGGCGGTTGTTCCGCTTCCCCTCCGGCCCGGGCCGTCGCCATTGCCGAAGGCTCCCAGCCTCCCCTCCCTGGCGCCGCCGGGCTCGGTTGTAGCCCGGCCAAGCTTACCAGCGGCTGCGCTCCCTCGCGGCTCCTCCCGCCCCGCCGCGCTGTCCTGCCCGGCTCTCCACTCCTAGCACCGCGCACTCGCCCGGGGCAGCTCCGCAGCCCGCCAGGAGCTCGGACCAAGGCGCCTCGCCGGGGCGGGGACCTTTCCTCCCCTGGGGTAAGTGTGCAGACAGGCCCGCTTGTTTCGGACGCGGGCCGTCGCCCTCATCCCTCCCTTCTCCGCGGCCTGGCTGGTGGGAGCGGCCTGGGACTACGGACCTGCCCCGCGAGGTCCGGGAAGTTGCCACCTGCGAGCTGGGGGCCCCCGACTCCTGGGGCGGTGGCTCATTGTCTGCTCCCTGGGGCTGTTTTCTTCTCGGCTTTAGCCCGAAATGGGAAGCTTGCTGGGCTGCCAGGGCTCGCTCTTCCTGGACCCAGCCCTGTTCTGATCGTGGCTCTACTCTTGGTCTTGCCTTCCCTCGCGTTTCACCCTCTCCCTTTTTTTCGGTCTAYTATCGCTGGACGGGACCTCTCGGGGTTCGTTCCTTGATTTTTTCCCCCCTCTTTATCTCAGCTCCACCTTGCTATCTCTGTTCGCCGCAGTTTCACTGCTCAGGATTGTTGTCCTAGTTCTTAACTCTTCTCAACTCTAAGCTCTTTTTGCTCTAGTCCACATTGGTAGAAACAGTTTACCCGGGAGTTGAGGGCCTCCGCTTAAGAATAGAATTTTCGGATCTTCTCACAGTGCTTGTTTGATCTTCTGCCAGGAGGTGAATATTTGCTTCTTTAGGTAACTTAGGTGAAGTTGAGATTGGCTTTTCACCATGTTTGGCTTTCTTTGAAACAGACGCGCCTGCACGCATAAGACGTTGCCACAAATTCCTCCGTGTACTCAACCTTTTGACTGATTGTTTAAAGATATAGTCACCCGAAGAACTGMAGTGTCTAGAGTAATTGCCATTGTCAGTTGGTGTAAGTTTGCCCCCATCCAAGTATTTTTAATGGGAATAACTGAGTAGTGTGAGCATGATTTGTTGCCCCTTTGATAATAACCAACTCCCATTAATATAATCTTAGTGCAAGTGATCTGTAATTTTTCTGTTTTATTTTTTAAACTTTGTAAAAAGACAATCAAAATGGTTAGGCCTAAAATTAGACTACGACGAGCTGTATTTTGGATCAAGGTTGTGCACGTCACGTTTTTTCCCCTGCTGTGTTGACTCTTCCGCTCTTATAAGTAGGCAGGATATTGAAATGTACAAGAATTTGCTCTGGGGGTTTTGCTTTTGTAGGGTTGTCTAAAAGAATAGCATTTAATAAGTTAGATCGGGATGAAGGCGGTGAACAGTAATTTTTAAAGCAGGTTAAGACTTGTCAGCTTTGCCAGAAGTTGTATGGCTATGTAAAACATTCATGTTCCTCTCTCTATATATTTCTCCCCTCCTCCATGAATGAAAGACTTTTTCATGTTAGAGATATTGATTTAAGGCAATTCTTACTCTTTCACCCTTGGCTTTTAAGTCTTTCTAGCTATTAATTAGCTAAGAACACTGATTTACATTATGGAAACTGAACCTGGGTGTTCGCCTATAATATATGTAGGTCTTAATCTGACTTTCAGATTTTGATGAAAGAGGTTGACCTAAATTCAGTGTTTTGTTTTCACTAAATACCCCACTGTTACCTTTCTCTCTAACAGGCTCTGGAAAAATAGCTTAGTACTAGCTTCAATACTGTCATCATTTATACCAAATGATTAGTTGTCTGTAATTTATCAGGATGCCTTGTTGGCCTGAGGGATTGAGGTGTAGAAATGTAGCAGTGTGAAACTTGTTCTGTTGATATCAACTTCTCTGCCACTTATTTCTATAAACTGTTTTGTTTGTTTTATATTTGTTTTGAGCTGATGTCTCACTGTGTTATTCAGACTGGCCTCTTAACTCTGGGCTGGAGCCATCCTGCTGCCTCAGCCTTTGGTGCACCGAAACTACAGGCAAAACTCACCCTGCTCTCTAGCTGCAAAAGCAGATAATTTGTATTAAGACTTCCATGGTTATTTCACTTCCATTAGAGTCTTGATTCCAGGTTTGCCATCATTCAGAAAGAGTGTTATTATTTTGGCCTTGGTGACACTTAATGCCAGTGTTGCAAACTCAAACTCATAAAGTAACYGTTGAGTTTGTAGTGGTATATGTCTACTAAACATGTGGTTCTTTGATCTTCATGATAGGTTTCCTTGTAGACATGGCTAACAGTTTAGTTTGTATTTCTTTTCAATTATGTTTTAAAAGAGGGAACTTAGAACTTGTTCTGATAGCTGAGTATAAACTTTCAATTTTACTTTTTTCAAAAATGAGAGAACTTAGTATAAGTAGCCAAGGATAAAATAAACAGGTACTGATAAATTTTTCAGTATTGGTTATTTCAGTAATGGTGTTCATGTATACATTTCTTTTGGCTTCCTGAATTTTCTGTTTTTGATTAAACTGGGCCATGTGCAAGAATTAAGTCCTCAGGGATTTGATCATTTTATCAAAACCCTTTCCAGTTAGAGGGTTAATTAAATACAGACTAATCAGAGGGAGGGTGTTAAGTTACTTGGAATTTGTTCTTATGAGTTCTTACTTGTATCCTTTTTCCTTTCCATAAGTAGGGAGGAGGGAAATAGCCCCCATTGCCTCAAATACTAATAGTTTTCTTCCAATCAAAATAGTTTCACTACTGATTCTTAGATCACTAGCTGATTATAGTCTGATCATTCATTCAAGATTCTAGAGTTCAAGTCTTTTATCTGTGTGGTATCTCATATTGGTATGTACTCCTTATATCCTAAGCACTTACRAATTGGAGGCCTGGATTTGAATCTTGGCTCCTCTTATTGATCCTGGGTAAGATACACTTTCTTTTCAAAACTTAGTTTTCTCATTTATAATATGGGGATAATAATATAATAATATTAATTTCATAGAGATGTTTATGCCAGTTTAGACAATGAAGATAAAATACTTAGCAATTGCAGGRATTAAGGTGTGCACCACTGGGCCCAGCAGTCATAATTAAATTTAAAAATTATCTTTCAGGAGAATAAAGTTAATTTTACATGAGAAAAAAATAAAATACTTCTACTTTTGAAATAAAATACAGGTTTTTTGAAAATAGTTTTTCTAATGTAAAAGGATGCATATTTCTTATGAAAAATTTGGAAATAATGAAAACAATTAACAGGACAAAATCATCTTAATCTCAGCTGTCAGAGATAACCTTAATAAYAGACTAGAAATGTGTATTTTTCTCTTATTTTTAAAATAAATTCAAAAGTAGTACATGCTCATTATGAAAAGTTAGAACAAGTTGATTAATTAAACAGTTAAAATTATTCCTTCCTCACTTACTAGTCCTATTCCTTAGAGGTATCTACCCACTATTAAAAATATTATTTAAGCATTGGTGTCACATGTTGTATATTTTTTTACATTTATTTTAAAATTAAAAAAAMCTGATCATTGTGTATTATTTTCCATATTAATATGAATAGTTGCACTTCATCTTTTTGTTTTTGACAATCAGGAAATAGATGCTCCATTATATGGTAGTAATTAATTAATTTTATTTGCAGTACTAGAGCGGTCGATCCCAGGAGCATTCTATCACTGGGCTATATACATCCTCAACCCTTTTTATTTTTTAAAATTGTGAGAYARTATCTCACTAATTACCAAGCTGGCCTGGAACTTGCAATCCTGCTGCCTCAGCTTCCCAAGTAGCTAGAATTGACAGACGTGTGCCACCATACCAGCATCTGGTAGTTACTTTAATTATTCATAATCATTTATTTGTTTTGAACAACTAAAACTAGAGCCTTAATGAATTTCCTCACGTCTTTGTGCATACACATTTGTGCATTTCCATAAAGAGAATTTTTTAAACGTGCATTTTAAGATTTGGTAGATTCTGAATTGCCTTCCCAAAAGACTTTACCAATCTATACTTTCTTATTTATATTTCCTTATTGAATTGTAGTTCTTTACACACAATAGGTATTAGTCCTTTACGTAATAGGTATTAATTCGTTACTAAGATTGTTGGGGGGGGGGTGTAGTTTAGTATTGGTAAGAGCACTTGCCTAGCATGCTCAAGATCCTGGATTCCATCACCAGCGCTGCAAACAAAAAATTCTTCCCCATCCACCTTTATAAAGCACATTCTTCTATATTATGGTACTTTTAATAATTGTTGTTGGYTATTTATTTATTTATTTTTGGTACTGGGGATTGAGCCCAGAGGTGCTTTGTTTATCTCTGAGCAACATTTCCTCCCCCCTTTTTGAGATAAGATCTCACTAAATTGCTGAAATTGGTCTTGAACTTTCAATCCTCTTGCCTCAAGACTCCACAGTTGCTGGGATTATAGGCCTATGTCACCATGSCCACAGTAATTGTTTGAATCCTCATCCTTCTGTTATGTTGTTGTTCATGGTAGGGATAAGAGAGCTTAAAATAGTTTGTTACAGAAATAAAATATAGGTGTAAAAGTGTTTTAGGACTGTGGTGTGAAAATTAGTATTATTATAGGGGATTGGAAGAGGAAATATATATTTTTTATTGTAAGCATCACATTTTCTAAAAAGGGAAAATGCCCCCTTTTGACCCCTGCTTCTCATCTACCTGATTAATCCTCACCTCTCAAGTCTCAATTTTTGTGTGTAGCTTTCTTTGAGAATTTTTCTGATCTCACCATGATTTAGATATTATATATTTTATCTTAACATTTTAACACATAATCTTTATGTTCTGTGTGTTGAAAACATGAGTTATTCATTTAGAAATAASAGTTATTTCTCTTTTGGGGCATTTTTTTAGTTGTAGATGGACACAATACCTTTATTTAATTAATTTATTTTTATGTGGTATTGAGGATTGAACTCAGTGCCTCATGTGTGCAAGGCAAGCACACTACCTGTACTGAGCTATAATCCCAGCCCAGTTTGGTGCACTTTTGAATTCTTCCTTAACTTCTTTCTGATCAAGCTATTACATTGGTAATTTGTTTTTTCATRTAAACATTTAAAAGTTTCTCAAAAGATAGAAGGTTTTACACTCAAAATACAAATTAAAGTATAATTTAGCTTTAAAAAAACTACTATTTAAGTTCTGAGATTATTTAAAAATTTTAATCTTA